TGCAGTGATCCATGATCACTCCGTTAATTCCTCGGAACTGCAGCCAGCTGAGACATTTTGCTAAGTTAACAACCATAAGCGTGCCGAGACAACTTGTTCCTCTGGGTTTTGGACAGATATCTATTTATGTTGCAATCTTTCTTTATCCACTTCTTATTTACCTGACTCTTTTACAAATTTCCTTCTTAAGTTGGAAAGAAATTTCCTCCTTAAGGTTGAACTAAGCAGAAAAGCTGGAGAACCCAGTGAGCAGTAACAGGATAGATATGTTCCTCAAAAGGAAAAATCTGCGAAATCAAAGTAAAGAGAAAAAATGTGCATTGTTGGACTGCAGGCAGGTTTTGCTCAGCGTTTTGGAGCTGGGAGAGCCTCCACGGTCAAACGGGCGCCCGGGGCCGACCCGTCGTGCAGCGCGTGGAGCAGCCCCGAGCCCTGTTTGCTCCTGCAGGAACGGGGTGGTGTTGATCCTGGGCCTGGGCTTCGTGCGCTGCTGCGGAAAGTGGTAAATCCTGGGTGCTGACCCCGAGCTGTGGGAATGTAGCTCCAGCAGGAGGACGGGGAGGACCTGAGGGTTAGGAGTAATGTTGATGGAAACCTTGTTGTGAGATCTGCCCAGGCCAAGCAGCGCCGCGTTCACCAGCGGCAGTGTTGACTGCGGCTTTGGAGAAATAGTGCAGCTGTTGAGGAATGAGCTAAATAATGCATGAACTGTTATTTTACACATAAACCAATGGCAACCTCTTTGTTGCGGAATCTGAACGTCCTCGTGGCTTTGGCCATGGCAGAGGCCCGTGCCCGTCGCCAAGGCTGCTCCTGGGCCGCGAGGATGGCTCTGGCCCAGCAAGGGCTCCCCTTGGAGCCCCTGGGCTCTGTCCCGGCGCTGGGTAAACGTTTGCTCTGTCCTGGTGTTGCAGAAATCGAGAGCCCCCTGGAGAGAGTGCACCAGATCCAGCAAATCATCGTCACGCTGCCCCGCGCCGTCATCGTGGTCATGAGATACCTCTTTGCTTTCCTCAACCAGTGAGTCCCTTTGCTCTCTGGCCGCGTTCCTTCGCGCTGCCCTCCCCGGGCTTCCCTGCGCCCGTTGCACGAGTCGCTGCGGGTGCTGCCGTGGCCAGGGGCACGCGCTGGCCCCGGGGGTGCTGCTGGCCCCGCGCTGCCCGCGGCGGCTCGAACGCCTCTGCCTGCAGCTTGTCGCAGTACAGCGACGAGAACATGATGGATCCCTACAACCTGGCCATCTGCTTCGGCCCCACACTGATGCACATCCCTGACGGACAGGACCCCGTGTCCTGCCAGGCGCACGTCAACGAGGTCATCAAAACCATCATCGTCCACCACGAGGGCATCTTCCCCAGCCACAGGGAGCTGGAAGGACCCGTCTACGAGAAGTGCATGACGGGCGGCGAGGAGTACTGGTGAGCGCTGGCTGCAGGGCTGGCATTGCCCTCGTAGCCACGGAACACGGGAACTCTCTGAAAAGACAAAACAAAAAACCCACAGCCTCAAATTAGCGCTAAGTGCTAATACGTATTTATCTTGAGGATGCTGGAATTCTACCTGGCATTCCCATCTAGGTTTTAACAAGCCAGTATTTATAATAGGCTTGACCTGGTTTATGTGGAAGCTTTATACATCTGTGGGACCTGAGATTCACTGATATGGGTCACACGTCACCATCATTACTGGTGCAAAAAGAAGAGAAAATGTCAAAATTCATTGTGAATGAGTGGAAGAAAATAATTTGGTATCGTTTTATAGTTGTTTTGCCAAATCTGAGTAAGACACGTGAGCACCAGAACGTACAGTTCTGGGCCTGAAGATCAGGGTGTTTCAGAGTATTTCCAGCTCTCAAAGCAAGTGCCATGATTGAAAAAGGCACAAAGGGTCCTGTCTCAGCCCTGTGGAGAGGGAAAGCATAGCTCCTTCCAGCACCACGGAGCCAGATTTCCCCCCGGCAAATTATTTTTGCCCAGGAGCTGGGGATCAGAACCCCGTTCCTGAATTGTCCTGAAGCGCCCGCACTCTCTTCCAGCGACAGCCCGCACAGCGAGCCGGGCACCATCGACGAGGTGGACCACGACAACGGCACGGAGCCGCACACCAGCAAGGAAAAAAACGGTGAGCACGGGCAGCGGAAACGGGCCCCGTGCCGCAGGAGCCGCGTGTGCGCCAAAGCAAGGCGCGCTCTGCTCCGCGCCCAACCGCGCCGGGCTGCACTGGGGCTTCACGGGGGGATGTCGCTGTGTTTGGTGTGTGTGTGAGGATAAACATTCCCTAGACGTTTCTATCATCGGATGTGCACAGATCTCACTGCAGTCTCCTTTCATGCAGGATCCATAGGGATTTTGTGTTTGTTCCCCAAGATCCCGTTTTCCTTCCCTCTGCTCTCCCTGCCTGTGCCCCCGTGCAGCCCGGGGATGGCTCCTGCCGTGTGGAATGTCTCCCTCCTCCCCAGCCTTTATTCCCGCTGCTCCCGGCCCTGCGGAGCTGCCGGGGGCTGCGGCG